TATTGAGACTCCCTCCCAAAGGGCTCTGTAATGTTCCTATGACCCCCCCTTCTCCCCCCCCCTCCCCCATTCTTAGGCAGTTAATTGGCAGTTAATTTAAGCGTTCCCCTGAAAACCATATTCGCTCTTGGAAAATCTCAAACTAGTCTGGAATTTAAAGGTCTCCATTTTGTTTCAGGGTAAAATTGAAAGCAGTTATCGAATAAAAAAAATTGTGTAGGCATAGTTGGGGTTAAATGAAGTTTACATTACACCCTTTCCCCAGTGACGTCATGATCCAGAACGGTCGATGAAGCCCAAATGAACATTGTTTTCCATGGCAATCAGACATGGATTGATGCTACTCTGGTTTAAAGACTTAATGAATGTAACCGAGAAGTTATAATTCCTAGACCCTATGAATTGTAACTTCTCGTCTCTGTATCCTAATTTTGTTATGTCTAAGAGTATACTTGAGATTTCTGACGATTTTTGTTGTCCACGTTAATCATTTAGTTTAAGGGGTTGAATGGAAGACAGTTGACATGTGGCAATACCAGTGGAGGATATCTCGGCTATTAACCTTTCACTCCTTAGATCTGAGAGTTAATTCTCCCTTCTAGCTGCTTCACAATTCCTTGCAAATTTTAGTCACGGGAATTTGGTGTTGGATCTAGATAAAAACTTCTACCTGTTAAGTTCTCATTATCTCATTGGTGGATAGCGCATGGGCATCGTGGGGAGAATTTACATGTTAACCACCTTTAGGAGTTGAAGAAAAAAAACAGCGCAGAACAGCTCGCAATGAGCTTATTTTTAGAGTATACAAGATGTGTAATCTCTTGAGAATACTCAACATATGTTCAAAACAAATTTTCCGTTTAATTGCAGGTTTGAAGGATGATGCCGCACGACCGAGGAAAAAAACATACTGATTGACTTAAAAATAAAGTTTATAATACGCTTCCCAGATATATATAGAAAGGAGAGAACTCGAAGTCTTGAAATTAGAGCAATAGTCGTGTAGAAAACAAAGTTACTGATGAGGCAGTTTGCGCTTTTAAAAGGGCTAACCAAAGTTTTTTTTTTAATAATTTCCTGGAAGGGAAAATTCTATGAACTTGCAAATTAATATTTTCACTAAAAAACGTTCAAGTCTTATAGAAAAAAGTCTACGTTTTCATATTGTTTCATATTGGTTTTGATCGAAAAATATATATAAGTCTTTTGGCGGGAAAATACTACGGAAAAAAAAGTCTGCGCTTTTGTTATGTGTCTGGTGTTGATCGAAAAAATATACAGAGTCTTTTGGCGGGAAAAACATATTGCACTGCGCAATTGGTTTTCTCCCATTAAAAGTCAAGTATATTTTTTGTTTTAACACAAGATTCTGTTCAAATTTGCAGAAATTTTTTTCCTCTCGGCAACCCTCCATACGCAAAATTTGTTAAAAGAGATAGCCTACATTTTGACTTGTTTCCAGGCCCTTTTAAAAGTGCAAATTTTCGTTCTATAATTGTAAGATATTAAAAAGAAACAGAGACAGCGGTTGAAGTTAAGTCTTTATTTGGTTTGCATCGCATACAATTGTTTAGTAACAAGTTAAAATGTTTACAACAATTGATAAGCATCATGCAAAAAAAGTTAGATAAATCATGTCAGATAGATGAATACATGAGAAATAACGTGTTTAATTGGCAAGGCATATCTGTCTAAGTCTGATCAACAAGAAAAATGAATAAGATTGTTGGCAAGATTTTAAAAATCTTTGTTTCAAAAAAATTGATGACATGAACTACGCATTAATTGCCTACGTGAAATAATTACATTGGTATCGATCGAGTGGAAAAAATATAGCCAAAAAGCTAGGACTCCTATTACGTAGAATGTTAGAAGAATGTTTTGATGGGAAACCACGACACCATTGTGCGACACGAGCAATTGACCCTGGCCTGTAATAACCTTTAAAAAGTTAACTAGCCAATTTAAACCTACGTTCAAAAGTGAAAAATGTGTCTAGTTTCCTAACAAATTAGCCGAGAGTCCTTTTTGAAAAAAACTCGAAAGAATTAAGATTTTTGCTGTTTATGTCAAAAAGATTTGCAATTTGACGATCTTACTGGCTTTTAAGATCCAAACTGTTGAGCATCGTCTAATGTAATGGAAAATTCTGTTCAATTCTAGCCAGATTTACCTAAGTGTCTTCGTTTCGCAATAACTGAAAAAATTTTCCACAGAAAGTCGTGAGGATCTACTGGGAACGTAATTAACAGCCCCCAATTACATTTTTTACCTTGAAAGTCAATTCCATCTTGTCTTTACAAATTAACTACATTCTGTAAGTTCTTCTTCGTCTTCTCTCTGGGTACAGCTGCCTCCACATCACAGGGAAGTATTATAGGCCCTGCAAATAGATAAGAACATAATATAGTGAACCTCTCAAGAAAACTTTGCCATATGTAGACCGTGGATTACTTGTAAACTTGCTGATAAGGCTAAGTGTTTAAACTCTGCGTTTGATAAAATATCTACTCGTATGGTATCATATCGGTGACCTATTTAGAGTGCTTCGTCCATTTCATTGATTCCTCTATGTTTTGCCTCCTTTTTCTTGCCAGCAAGGTCACAATTGACTTCATTTTCATGTTAGGCTCAAGAACCCAACCTTAGTAATGTCAACTCATTTTCGTGAGGTCAACAGTAACTCAACCTAAATTTCTCGTGCACAAAAAAGATAGAACACTGATTTTTTTACAGGGAAATAACGTATGAGAGCAGAGAAATATTTTAAAACAATATATTAGCAACGTGCAAGTTAAATTAAATTTTGATAGATCAACAAAAAGCTAAAAAAGATGGCTAATACTGAACTTCACCGATTAGCGAGCAAATCTTACATCAAAATTGACAACTCTGCGATTGAAGCGGCCTCAAGTCACTTACAGTTGGAATTAGGCCCTAACGACTAATAGATTACACACTCGCACTATTCATCTTGAAAAAGGCTCTTTGAAATCGTTAAAATAATTAGCAGAAATGTTTCCGCTAAAAATTTTCACCCTATTTTACGCACGACAAGAGAAGTTTGTTTGGATTTTACAGGAAACTGAAATAATAATAAAAAAGCAGAACAGCAACCACTTTGTTTGTCTGTTTGATTGATTAATTCTTTGAAAGAGCCGATCACTTCCTTTACATTCCAATCATTCTTTGTCGGTGACAAAGTACCACGACAGAATTTCAACGGTGGCGTGAGAATTTATTTGCATCATGCTTATTTCCATACAATTAATTTGTTCACTCCTCCACCAAAATATTCCATTGTATCATCCATTATGCTATTTGGACGCCCGTGACTTAAATCTATAATGTTAAATTTGGTTCAGTTAAAAATTAATCTGCCACATAACTAGTGTTTGTCTATACACGACAAGGTAAAATTTCCGCACAGCCCCATACTACATTATGCATTCAGTTCTTGGATGGTGCAAACATTTTGCTGCTTAACTCTTGATTGCTCTACACAGTTACATTGAAATTTCAACTGATTTAAGAAAGCCAACACGATACTTGGCTCGATATATTTTTCCTACTAGCACTGACAAAAAAAACCATTGCCTCGGAGGCAAAAGCCACATGTACATATAATGAGTCTGTTTTGAACGAATCAGATACGGAAGCCCACCTTTACGTAGTTGCTTTCGTTTCCAGTCTATCCAGTCTTGTGGTTTACTCGGACGTTTTCTTGTAGTAGCTTATCTACAAGAAACACAAATATCAATTTAATTTCTCCTTGTTCAAGTTGCTTTGACAGCCATAGTTGTTAAATGAATTAAATCGGGTCTAACACAGTAGAGCGAAAAAACCCTCTACACTAGAACAGCTCTGGTGTTCTCTGCTTCGTAACCACCTTTAAGCATCTTTTACCTCTTTTCACTCACAAGTTTCCTTACCATAATTTATTTTGGAACTTCTTCTTCGGTTTGCCTGGTTATCAGCGAGAGAGGAAAGATTTCCGGAACACCATATTATTTTAAAACAATATCGTAGTCCTAAAGGCAATCCATTGTCCCCTGCCATTGTTTTCTTTATCCAAGGACTGTATTTATAATGAAGTATGGGGTTGTACGGAAATCATGCCGGAATTTTTGTCTTAAACAAAATTTACCCTGTAAGGGCTGACGAATACAACTTACCGGTAAATATGCCGCAACATTTTTCTCTAATAATATTTCTGTCGTTTCTCTAAACGAGAATCTTAGTGCAGTGAAACTTGTTGAGAATATCTCTTCAAACACTTCCTTTATCATAAAGAATTCTTTCGACCCCATTCAGCGCGTTGAGAAACATCTGAAAAGTTGAATTCATGCCCACTCTTAACGTGTGCTCTTTGGCGAGAAAGACATCTTGGAGTGTGCTTTCCATAACAAGTCCTCTAGCACGGGCCCTTATGCTTTGCCTCTATTCGCGTATGGAGGTTACTCTTGGTAAGTTGACGAGTTTTCCGGATCGGATGTGAATCCGCTCAGACCACGTGGAAGCAGAAAATGTAAATAAGATGAAAGTTCCGTACGTGCAAATCACTGTAGCCTCACCCTGGAAACGAGGTCGATGTACATTAACATAGCGAAGGTTGTGCTTCGAGAGTGGAATTTCACAGTTGATACAGTTTTCTAAGGGACCCGATTTTAATGCAAGTTTTTTAATTGATTGAAAATTAATGGGAAGGAAAGAGGAAATGTAGTTTTAGAAAAAACGAAGGAACGTGTATAGGACTAAGAAAACATTGGGGAATGGAGGGAACTTGAAGATTTTATATCCATCCTGCGTCGTGGCGCTCAGGTTGTTGTAGCCTATACTACAACTAACTTTTGCACATGTGTTATTCACAGAGCATTCAGCCATGTTTGATTGATCGAGGCTCATCTCAAACCCAGACCTCGCTCGGTATGCAACTTTTCTCACGACCGCAGGAGACTTGGTTATATGATTACTTAAACTAAAAACACCTGAGAACAAAAAGCAATATACAAAATTTATTTCCGTTCGATGAAAATTTGAGACTTGATGAGAAACTGTGAGAAAATAATTAAACTCTTAGGATTTATCAAGATTATAAACTTTATTATTATCATTAATATCATAAAAAGAATTTTTTCTTGCAGCCTTTCTCTATTCATTTCTTTCAGTATCCACAGTCCTCTCTCTTCTTTGTACAAACCAAAAGACTGGGTCCAAACGCTAACGTTTGGTGCAGTCATCCACGTGACACGCGCTCATGTTAAAATCTTTCACCCTTAAATTCTCACGCCATAATAGATACTAAGGCTCTCAGAGAAAATCATTATATTCTACGGAACACTGACAAAGCAGCTTCTCTTCAGTCTTTTAAAAGTTTTGGGAGCGAACAGTTTAAATTAACGACGACATACCACACAAAAAAATAAAAATGAAAATAAATAAGTAACTTAGAAGGCAAAATAAACCAGTGGTTTACTTTTCTAACAAAATACAGGACTTAAGTAGTAAGCCTTGAAAGGATTATTCACAAATATCCATTCACGTTAGCAAACGAACAAAAAGTTTTCCAGCCAAAACTTCAAAAAGACGAATTTGGTTTCAAACGCTGTTATTTTGAGTTAAATTAGTGACACTAAGGGGCATGGAAAGTCGAAGCGTTAGTATCACTGGCGCTGGCGTTTTTATATGAAGAATAAATGTATATAAAATCTGTATTAATATTAGTAACTTCTATTTGGTTAATTTAAGCAGCTATTCTGAGCCCGCTGCTCCAGTCAGCAGTGTCATTCATGTCGGGACAGAGCACAACGCCGTCGGAATTCCTGACCTCGCTCATGGATCCACTTGTTTGCCACTGAAACGTGAAGATACGACAGTTATTTCATGGCGAGACTTAAGTTTTGGTAAAAAACTTGGATTAAATCGCGTCAAATCATAAACCATTCCTTTTCGTGCGCGAAATCGAGTAACTCGTAAGCACTGCGATGTTTGGTAAGCAATGGTACTCAAAACCAAACATACACAACACTATCATGATTTTATTAAATTTAGTAACTTGCACTTTCCCGCACTTAAGTCAGTCTTATTTTTCAGCAACGCTCATTGGTTCCTTGTCGTATTTACCTTGATTATGATTGGCTGTTGCATTTACAATAACTACAGTGTTACGACACACAATAGAAAAAGCGCTCTCCTGACATAATTATATTCAATACTACATCTTTGTGCGATGCAACATTTACTTAGAATATTGCCTCTCACCCCATTTACTGCCAACCAATACTGGACAGCCAGCATGTCTTGTGCTGTCATCTCCATCTCCACTGCGCTTCAAGTTCCACCAGAAAGCAGCGTCTCCCTGTTGGTAAAATTTAGAAGAGAGCATTTACTGCAAGGTCAGAAACTTATACAAAGATTTTAAAAAATCTAAAATTATTTTTAAAAAATATGACAAATATGTAGGGGTGGGCGAGGTGCACACCTGCGCTGGGTCAGCATCGAGTGCGGGACCAACAGAAATACTACCAAGTCGCTAGATGCTATGAAAACCAGAATAACTCCCACCCCCCCTTCCCCCTGAAGTAATGGTGGAGAAGTAGAATGCAAAGGATTTAACTTCAGGTTGCAAACGTATCCGTGTAAAGGCACAGCCAACGCACGCAACATTTCAACACAACATTCTGCAACATTATTGCGCGCAACGTACGGCATACTCTTGGCCTCCCTGTAACAACATGTTGCAACAAGTTGGATGGTATTGGATCAAGTTTGAAAATGGTCAAATTTTTGTTGCAACATTTTTGGATGTTGCAAGATGTTGCACGCGTTTGGCCAGCCCCTTCACAACTTCTCACAATACGATCCAACAGTGTTGTAAGATGTTGCGTTGAAATGTTGTGTGCGTTTGCTGGGCCTTTCAATACAAAAAAACTCGCGCACACGACAACTTCAAAATACACCTCTCTCCATCTTTCGTAACAGTTTAGACTATCAACATTTCCCTGACCTGGCTGGGAAATAAAGTTGTGCCAACTTGTGTAAACACCGTACCGCCACCAGCTTCGACATTACTCATCTGGAAAGAAAAAAAAACCAAACAAACAAATAACAAATGTAAAGCACGATGAAGTATGTCCAGCAATGAACGATCAGGGCAATTCTCAATTGAGAATCGAAAGTAATCCGAGATTGCGTTAGTTTTCCTTACTTCGCTCTGCGATTGGTCCAGAAAACTTGTACCCCTCTTTCAACCAATCAGGTGCAAACTAAAACCAATCGCGACTTGGTCGCCCGCGTTTTCCCGCGCTTTAGGCAGTTTGGTTGCTTTAACTTTTAGTTCTCATTGGCTCGTAAAGTTATTTTCCTTCATTCTGATTAGCTGCTGTGATAACTTTGCTTTTGTTTTACGACACTCAATCGAAAAGCACTCTAAAAGGACTGGTGACTTACGTAAGCCAAGAAGGTGGCGATTCTGTTTCCCGTGCCAAGAGATGTAAACTTGTCTTCATTATTCTGTAAAATAATAGACATAGAAACGATGTATCCATGAATAACAAAAAAGATATCCAGTCAGTTGGTTAGTCAGTTCTTCCGTTTGTCTGTCAAACAGTTTTAAAAACGCTGAGTAAGTCCGTCGTCCGATCCACCATCCTTCCGTCTGCGAGTCCAGTTCTACGTTAGGGAGTTTAAGTGACAAAGAATACGGATCAATGTCAGTATCTAAGCAAGCACGCACCTTCCCCTCCTTCACTTGTTATCAGTTGACTGTTATTGGGTCAAGGGAGGGGTAAGTGTGCAGTTACTCTCATACAGACATAAATAAACGAATACTTACCCGTGCAAAATCGTAGTGCGGTTCATAATGACCAGCAATACCATAGTTTACAATCTGCAAGAAAAACATTCATAAAGCAAGTAAAAAGAATGGGTCTCTAAATCAAACTAGATCTAGAAGTTATTTTTCCCAATGACATCTGTATGCTTGACTTGGGATGAGTATCCTAATGGGAGCATTTTACTGATAATGGCAATGGTTCCTAAATTCAATTCTACGTAATAGGCTGCACATACCTGTAGTTCTTCAGCTGTGTCCATCGTTAAGCCTGTTACATCTTCAATGCGCAAACTCACTCGTCTTATAAGTTCGTGGTCAGTGTCTTTCAACCAGCCACTTACAAAATGTAAAAAAGTAAAAAATAACAAACAACAGAGTATCCTTAGTTTCAAAGTTTCCACAAGTTTTAAAGTTTCGATTTTCGATAAAGTTCAAAGTTTTCATCCCTCTATTGGACAGATAACGAGGAAAAGAATCTCGAACGGCCTTGAAACTGTAGTACTGTCAATGAAATGTCATTCAAACGATAATGGTTATTTAAACTAAAGGCTTCCTATGTACATTGTGTTAAGGGAACACGCTGGTTTAAAGAAATATTTCAATTTTTGATCAACAGAATTTCAGTTATAAGTTAAAATAATCAGCTATAAAATCACAGCGACGTAAGTTTAGCTTAATTAGTGTGGATTTAATTGTTTCTCTTTAGAGTCAAGCGTTAAACTTTGGTTAGGGAGAAGCCTGCAAGTTAGGAGGTTGAAATATCGATTGAGAAAATTTTTACACTAGTAATCCAACGAGATCGGTCGTTTATGTGGTTCATTCAAGAGAGACAGCTGTTGTCTAACTGCTATGTAAGAAAAATTATAAAGCATTACGTTTCTAAATAACACGCAAACAAGGAGGTTACTTTTGAAAGTAAAAGAGTCCGTCAAATAAAGGAAACAATCAAATTAGTGTCAGTAACGACTTAGTAAGCGATGAAGTTTTACACCTCCATGAGTCTTGACGGTTAAATACATTATTGAAATACAAACTACTTGTTTCATTTTCCTAACTCTGGCGCATTTTTTATTTTTTATTACGCGGTCACTCGCGGAGAATGGCGGAGTGACGGCTTATTACAAGTTGACAGTTTAATACAAGTTCCATTGAATAAGGGGTACTATGAGACACGATGATAAAACACCATTTTATGCCATAAATGCCATTTGATTTACAAACACTCGCTCAAAAATACTACTAACATTGATTATTTTGAGATAAAGATGGAATAAATTTTACTCGAAAGATTATTCTTAGTTCTATTTGAGTAGCTGTGCTCTAAGTGAACGTTCAAAACAGGTGGAAAACAGTACAACAAACAGGTCGTTGAGACTCAGTAAAGGGTGGCCACGACCGTTAAATATAGTACTAAACGGGAAAGAAAAAACGACACTTTGAAAACCGACCGCTTAATACAGGGTGACTGCTTTAAGAATACGATGCCGCTTAATACAGGATCGACTGATCATACGAATGTGTTCTAAAGCTGTCCCCAAAAAGTAGCAAGAACCAACCTTTTGCTTATGCGGTAGGACGCAAATTCAAGGTTTCCCGTGACTGGATGTTGAATTGTCGCACGACGAAGCTGTTTGGAAACGTTTACAGATAAAACAAGTTAGTTAGATTATTGTAGTGAGTGATTTCCAAATGAGAATCGACAGTAATGACAAGCTGGTCAAGTTTCCCCTAATACACCTTCTAATTGGCCTAGAATTGGCGTCACCTCCTACGTCTATCATATGCAAACCCAACCCAGCAGAGAATCCGCCAAATTTGTTTCCCGCGCTTAGCGCTGATTACGCATAATCACACACTTGACACTGGTTGGGTGTTTTCCCGCACTTTACGTTCATTGCATGTTTTGCCGCGCTTGACACTGTTTATATGTTTTCCCGCGCTTAGAGTTGAGTGCATCTCTTCCCGCGCTTGACGCCGGTTACAAGCTTTCTCGCGTTTGACGCCGGTTAAATGTTTCCCGCGCTTGGCGATGATTTTTCGTTCACCCGCTCCTCTCAATGGTTCCTTATTTTTTCCTGCTTCACGTTGGTTGCGCGTTGCTCGCGCTAAGTGCGGCGTGATGCAAATTTTCTCTCCTGTCTTTCTTCCCCCCTTCTCCACCCACTAATTGGTTTTTTCAATTGTGTTGGCCTTTGGCCTTTGTAATTTTGCTCTTTTTTTGGCTACAGCACAGTCGCCCTTACAATTTAAAATGTTCTCCAGAGTTCACCAACAAACTTAATGGTTTAAAACTGATGAAAAAAAAGTTCTGATTCTTGATAAACTTATAAAGTTTAAAGAAAAAATAATTACCAGAAGAGCTCGAGAGCCACCTTCAATTTACAGAACAGTAACTGAACAGAACTTAAATACAAAACACCTCCAAAATAAACAACTGATATTTTTGTCCTCTATTGACCAAGTTTTTCTCGCCACGTTAAACACACCGTGCTTCAGAAATCGCTTCTCCTCGCGCTGCGCTGGTCGCACATGAATATAGTTAACTGCAGAGCTCACATATAGCTCCCTGAGGTTTAGTTGAAGAAGCACACGATTGCAAAGTCAGAAGGTCTGGGTTTCAATACCTTGTGGGAGACCGCGATTTTTTCGAAACAAAAAAAATAACTGCTTTCTCTATTTAAACTGAAGAGTGTTTCTTGTTAGAGTACTCTGTTAGATCATTGGGCACAGCCTTGTAAGTGATTGAAAAGAACAAATCTACTTGTAATTCGTTGTCGTGCAGTATTTTAGGGCTGCCAGTCCATACTTAAGAACAGTTACCCATCAACAATGGAAAAAAAATAAGCTGGCTCATACATACTAGTGACACAGACGCGTGCATGCTTATGTGCGTATCTACGCAACTTAAACGCGCATTCGCTTATATTTACACGCCCATACGCCGACACTCATACGCGTATTATGTGCGTATTTTGATCAACGTATTTTTCAGCGTTATTGAAGGAACATGGGTTGGAAGTAATGAAAAATTGAAAGTAATCTGCATAATCTGAAAGGTCATGAACACGAAAAATCAATATACTGTGAGCACTGGATGAAACTACAGCTATATATACCTCACTTTAACTCATTACGAACGGCTTCTCTGAAAATACATTTTTCTAGTCCAATATTTTGTTAAAATAAACACGATTAAAAAAGGTATTCGACATCTATGAGAAATTCAGTTAAATCCACACTTGATTTGCAGCCGTTACAAAAAGAAAAAATTTCTTTCGACACCCATGTTGAAATAAAGGTGTCTACTATATGGCTGGCTAAAATTTGGGATCAATGTCAATATCTGAGCACCTGTGTACCTACCCCTCCCCTAACCCAAAATTACCTACCTCTCCCCAAGCCCAAAATTAACCCTTAACTTGTTATCATTGACTGGGTTAGGGGAGGGGTAAGTGTACAATTGTTCAGATACTGATTTTCATCCAAAATTTGAACACGCTGTCCACAAACCTCTTACTAACTCTATCTTCAGTTGTCTCTAACGTTCCATCATCAAGAGTTACTGTTGCACGTTCAAACTACACAATTTGGACAAAATGCAATTAAAAGCAAGAAGTTGTGGTTGCAGTACAAATGCCAGTTTTATCCCGACAGGAAAAGTTATCAGTCTTGGAATAAAGACAAGTCTTATAACGGACGACTGGTTAAAAAGCAATAATTTTTATAGGGCCACACCCTGGGTGAAGACCTGGTTAAACGCGATTTATTTTACTAAGCACCTAATTTTTGGAATGCTTTAAAATATCTAGGTCAATCTGTCACGTTGAATTTGAAAAACACATCATGGAAAGAATCTCAATAATTTTAGCTGGTATGCATTGTAAAACAAAGTAAGATAATTATTTCAAGAAAAAGAACTGCTTTCCACGCACTGATAGAAATGACCTATGCTCAGTTACTCCACTCTGAATGACCTCACACCATAACATCAATAAGCATATTCTCCATACTATTCCCTACAGATTTTCTGAGGTGTTGACAAGGAGAATATGATTAACAATCAAGAACTCCTCAAGTTGGTGATCATTTCCTATATTCTCGTGACTTTCGTTTGTAGGGAGAAATTAGATGATGATGACTCGTAAAGATTAAAGGGTTTAATTTTAAGAACCACGCTCTTTAGCATAAATGACTGTACATGTACTTCCGCCTCACGTAAAAATAACTGCTCCATAGCTTTTATCTGAAGTTCAACATTAACACACCAGAGTCAAATCCATCCTACACAGCTCAACAAGCAGTATCACATCAAACGAACGATTCTTATGTTCTGAGTATAATGACATCCAGTTTTTTTGCTAGATTCCAAATTCAAGCATTCCTTTGAAATCAACTACGACCACCTAACTCGATGCTGGATATTTTATCCACAATGAATCATTTGACTGACATTTGAATGACAGTTCTGAAGTTTCAAAGGATGGCCATTTTGCTCAGTGACACAACCCATGCAATTTATGTTACCTTTTTTCAATAGGATAATAACAAAAGTATGAGCATGTATTAGCGGAACACTCTGAATAATTTCCTAATTAACTTCCTTAAAAGTTAATTTTGTGATGCTGATGATCTAATGATGTCAGTTGTAGCCCAGCATTTTGAACGTAAAACTTGTGGAAAACAGGTAAATTGAAGATAAGTGTAAGATACTCATTTACATATTTAGTAACAAGTGTAAAAAGTTGTTTTTGATTACCAAACAACAGCATGAATTACCTCTTGCTCACTCTATATTTAGCATGTTCTAGCAAACCAGTTTTGGAGCTTCTAACAGTGGCACGACGGAGCTGATCATATGAAATTCAATAACACAATCATTTATGATGTAGTAAACCTGTATGGTGTGACTGTCTGAGAGAAGATAGTCCTGAAAGAAGATTGTTTCTTGTCTACAATTATAATAAGACAGTATCTGATACTTCAAAAACCTTAGCATTCATCATCAGTGAAGATTACATCCACCCTGTATGAAGAAATGCTTGTCTGTCGAACATTACTAAAGGTCATTTTCAATTCAGTGTCATTAGAAATCCATGATTGCTTTTGTTCAGCTATACTTCATTCTGTGGTTGGTTCAGAAAAGTTGCACCAAGTTCTCAAATAATCAGATGCCCACCTAAAACCAATCCTGCCTTGGCCACCTGCATTTTCCTACATTTAAAGTACTTTGGTTATTTCAGTTTAAGTTCTCATTGGCTCTTAAAGATATTTTCCTTTCTTCTCGTTGGCTCGTGATTACTTTGTTTTTGGTTTTTATGACACTTATTTGGAAAGCACTTTGTATTGTTTGTGGAAGCTGGTTGGTCAGTTTTCCAGTGAGATTGACGACTGCATGTATATCTTAATTAACTAGCAGTCATTGCTGTTTAAACTTAGGAAAGAAGGAAGGACTCTACTACACAGATATCAACAACAAGTGCAATCAGCATAATGTTAGTAGTAATAATACTGATGTGGCAGCTATTATCAGCCTTACACTGTACTAGATTATAGAAAAAAATGTTTCTGGTAGAGGTAATATTTCAACATTAACTGAAAGCACCATTTCATATGATTTGTATATTCAACTAGTGGAAGAAATGTGTGAAAAATTGATCCTCAAAATAAAACTGTCCAAAAAAAAATCTGCAGAAAGTCAAGCCCTGTGTTTTTGCAGAGGTGCACAAAAAGACAAATTGTTTTTTCCCAACAAAATTTTTCTGAAGGAACGTCGAGGTCACCCAAGAGCCATGGTGTATAACAAAACTTAAGCATAAAAATTGAACCTTTAAACCTTCCAAAAATTAACAAGACTCCTGAACTGTTCATCAAAAATTTGAACTGGCTGATCAACATGTGCAACATTGGCCTCAAGGGAAATGACAGAAGAGAGATAAGCTGATAATTACTGATGCTTCCAAAAGGTCAACGGCAAGTTCTGAAAAAACATTCCTTCAAACTTTTGCAAGGTGCTAAACCAATCTTGTAAGAAAAGTTTTATTTGAATGAGAAAAAATATCATTTTCAATTCAAAGGCCTCACCCCTACTCTCATTTAAACATGAGGGCTGAGAAGCAGCTTGGAAATGGCCCACGAAGAAGCCTTGTCCTTATGATTTGAGGCAAGATTGTTCATAACCCAACTGACACTAATCCTGATACTGCCACAAATTAAAATTGTACCTACTTGTGCTGATAACAGTTACATGACTGTATAATTAATCAGCCAGAGGCCTTCCCTAACAGTCTATATGCCTTCCTTTTTACCCATTAAGATTGTGTGTTTGACAAATTTATTATTTCGAAAAGCAGATTTAAGTTTTGGACAAGAACTAATGAAAATCACAAAGCATAATTTAGAAATTTAGAATGTGTCTTAAATAGGCTACTAGCTTAAAAAAAATTGAGCGTTTCATGAACCAATGCTGATAAAATTCCCATTTTCTCCTCTGTTTCAAATATACTTTTATCTCCTTTACTCAAAAACTACTCTGAATTTTCCTTTACAACATTGAATTACATGCAGATTAGAATACTGCACTGAGCTGTTGTTTCTTTCATATTAAAATAGATTCAATTACAAATAAAAAAAGAACTATTACGAAAAACTTTGGTACATTACCCTTGGCGCGGCCAACTCTTTTATCTTGTTCATCTCTGGCACTGTTAGGATTTGGCGCATTATTATAATTTCTGGCTTTAAAAACACTCTTTCAAACTTTGCCGGCCTGATTCTTAATCTTGGTGTACCACTGTAGTACCAGCACAACATTTTACTTTGTTCCCATGCAGTCTATGAAATAGAAAATTAGAAAGTTAAATTAGGAGTTGGAAGATACTATCTATGCAAACTTGCAATGCTCTTAAAACAAACAGTTTGTGTATAATCCTTCTGTCAATACTCCTTGCTCTAAGTGTTATTGGCATATTGGCAACGCTAGGACAAAAGTCATTGTTGTTCTTCAAATCTACTCACCAAATTTCTAACTTCTCCCCTGCAGAGTTTTTCATAGTTTTGGAAGGAGGATGTTCGGTGCCAGTTGTCACGCTCACTCCTTGGTTTTACTTTAGTGTCAGTGATAATCCCAGTATCCCCTCGGCGACCAGTCTGTTTGTACATCTTCACTTCTTCTCCAAAGAAAGCAACATTCCCTTGTGCTCGTTCATGCAAGGGATCTATAAAAAGATTAAAAAATACACTAGAAAAATGATAAAAAATTATTCACTTTAACTTTCATTCATGATCTGTGTTTCAAATAGTTATTTTGAATCAATTTAAACATCATAAAGAAAATGTCTTCGATCATGGAATTGTCTTTAATTTAAACATAGCAACATCTTGAATATAGATGTAGTGGTTTTCTAATGTAGAGTAACTCCAAGACTTGAGAATTAACCAAAAAGAAACACTTATGGTTTAGAATGGAGATGATTGCCATGTATTGCACATGCATGAAAAGCTTAACAGGCCATTTTACAGTTGTGTACTTAGTTGCCAAGCCTTTGATTTGGAGTGAGGCTGAAGGTGACCTTGTTGTGATAGAGACCAGTATCCAATTAGCATGATAACAAAGTAATTTGCATTTGAAAAGCAGCAAGGTTTGTATCATAACAAGGTCACCCTTACCCTCATTCCTGTTCAAAGGCTTGGCAACCAAGCACACAACTGTAAAATGGACTATTAGGCTATATATTTCAAGACAGGAATTAAACTTTGCTTGAATCCCATAGATGTAGTCAGAGTGTGGTAGTGTAACTCACCAAGCTCTACCATCTTCTTGGAGTACTCTAATGCCTTCCTCATGTTACCTCGCTGAAACATGCACAGACAAAGCTGTCAGCAAATTGTGCCAAGGTTGCAAACTTACAGAAAATAAATAGATGAATTTATTGTGAAATTCAGAAAACAATTCACACTTTGATTTGATACCCACAACTCCATTGTGTACTGCCCAATCATAACTGTTACAATAAAGGTGGAGAAATGCCAGCATACATAAAAACTACAAAATGATTGGGGCTATTGTTGATATTTGTTGTTCATTTTTCCAATCTCTGATAACTCTTACAACAAAATAAGGTGACATAAACATTTCTGGCATTCATAGCTTTCCTAGATCCACAGGTAATAGCTCTGCAAATGAAACATCACTTTGCATCTAAAAAGACCATGAAAGATTTAGGTAAGTTTATGCTTACTTGAGCATAGTAGACTCAATAAATCATATTTAGCAGGTTGTGTACCTTGTAATTTGAGTACGCAAGGTGATCGTAGATGTCAAAGAGATTAACTCCCTCTAAATCATCCTGTTGCTTAATGTATTGTTTCAGTGATTCCTCCATCCATGATCTTGTGTAAAACATATCGCCATTCACATAAGCATGTCGTCCAATATCATAAACCTCACCAACTGTCATTTTGGGTGATGGGACAGCGTCTGTCAGCTTGCCTTCTGTAAATGATGATGGTTGAAGTTGGTAGGTGTCTTGAAGTCGCAGGAGGGCAGTGATTGCTCCTTCATAATCTTCTTTCGATGAAAGTGCCTCTTTATGCTTGGTTATGGCATCACTGACAGCTGCCAGACATAGAAGAGTAATAAGCATTTTAATTTCTCCCACTAATTTTTACATAAATCATGTTAATTGGTGATCAAGGATTATTTTCATCTAATTTGATCCCTTCACCCTAAGAGTGACTAGCATCTAATTTCTCCTGATGGTTTCGACACTAATTCAAACATTAAAGACATGAAAATGAAGAAAATTATTGCCAACTAAAGAAGTTGTTGACTGTTTAAAATATTCTCCCTTCAGTACCATAGGAAATATATAGAAAAGAGTATAGAGAATATGCACATTGATGCTAGCATCAATGTAGGATATAGCTGACCCTCCACTCAAGGTACACCCTTAACCCTTTAACTCCCTGAAGTGATTAACTTAAAACTTCTCCCTACAATATCCTTAACATTATTCAGCAAACAGGTGATGAGAATATTCAAACTTATCAGATAGAAGCTGCTATCTTGATCTGGCACCAAGGTCTCATAACTAATTTACAAGGAAATGTGTAGCAGCTAGAGGGGAGAATTAACAATTAGATCTTGGGAGTTAAAGGGTTAAAATATCAATACATTATCAAGCAGGCTAGTGATGAGAATAAACAATAATATCAATATTAGGAGATTATTAGTTGATCCAATAACAAATTCTCCATGCTAACACCTTGGGAACTATATCGCTGACAGGAAGGAGAATTACTAATGACACGTGGGGGTGGAAAGGTTAAAACTATACGTGGAAACATTCATAGCCAAATGGTGAGCATATTTAACTCTGCATCGAGTCATCCAGGTTTTGTCCTTGACTGGGTCAGTGTTTGGGTTCTTAGGCAGGAGGCACTATTATCACTGAACCCCTCTCTACTCAGGAGTAAAGTGTATAAATTAGTACCAACCAACTATGCAATTCATAACTAGGTGCAATACTGAGGAGGGAAATGGACCAGCTTCAATTCCAGGGGAGTGGCAATACTCCTTATCATTTCATGTTACTGAAGACCCCCTTCCCACCCCCCCCCCCCCCCCCCAATAAAAAGGCATTTGCCTCAAAATTGTTATTGAAAGTTTTCATTTCAAGAACATACAGACAAAAGTTTAATTATTGCTTACAAAATATAGAAATAAATTAGATCACAGCATTAATTAACTTTTGAATAAAAAATACCATGTGATTGGACCCTATTTGATCAAAAGCCCAAAGATGTTCTAATAGATATTATAATTCCCATTTAAGCAAAATTGTGAATCAAGAAATTGATAATTTGCATATACAAATAGCTTGGAATAAGAATATTTTCATGTTTCTATCACAAGGAAGTTTTGATGATTGTGTAAAGTCATACTACTCCAAAAGAAATAAATAAATCTAATATCATACTTTATGAAAAATTTAACAAAGTTTCTCATAACAAAGAGCACTGAATTGTCCCAATTTTATTTTCGATTGAATCACTATTTCGAATTTGGCGATAATGGATGTATATATTTTTTTTATTGACATCAGCTGCATCGCGATTCAAATGAGAAACACCTACAGCTGTTTCTTAAGACACACGTTAATGGTTTGACAATTCACGATATCAAACAATTGCTCTCTTAGAACTGACGATCGTTTGATCATTAGAAATGTTATACAAGACACACGACTTACCCTCAGAATTATCGATTTGAATCAATTTCTCTGCTTCAGGCCAATCTTTATATAATCTCCTGATCTGGAGATAAGAATTTACAGGATGTCCTAAATACCTTGGTACATCTTCTCCTACCAGATTGTGTGCGGAATCCACTCGAGCGAGAAACTTCTTCAATTTGGTTATCCTTTCTTGTTCTAAATTCACGTATTGTTCTAAAGTAAATCTTAATTCTCGTTCTCTATACACCAATTGTTCTAGATCGACTAAGGCCGTAAAAAGCTCGCCCCGAGCTCTGCTAAAAATCAGGACTGAGGTAAGTAGTAGCAATGGAAACCTAAGATACAACAGAAACGCAGCCATTTCCCAGCCTTTGCCACGGCGGAAGGTTGACCCATGTGAGAATTACTGGAATGGCGAAGCCAATATTCTAATGAGAATTGAAATATTGATCTATCTGTCAAAATAAACAAACACCACTTAACTCGACAAAACCGCTGAACTTACATCAGCCCGTTGACTTACGGTCAACTTAATTTAAATTAGTCTGATCATCATGGATTGCGCTCGAAATGTTTCAATTTTCATCAAAAACTACCCCGGGGTCTATTACCGAAATTTTATTTTCTTCTTACTGGCGTGACCACGGAGCAGAAAACCTGCCAAAATAACACAACGTTTCTTTCATTAGCAAACAATCAATAATTGATCTCGTTAAGTCCTCAGGGTCAGTTAGAGCGCCTGACAAAACGCACGTTTCAGTATCAAGTTGATAATTTCCATGTTCATGAAAAGTGTTTTCGAAATTTCTAACGTGGGTTTCGTTAAGTCGCCGATAGACTTATTGGGAAATCAAATCCTTAAATTTGTAGAGTTTTAATCAAAATAAAAGTAGCTGATTTATTTTAAAAATTTGAAAAGTCTGAAATGCGCAATGCACAGTGTCCAATAAGCTTTTCCAAAATATATTTATCTTGATTTGCAAATGTAGTTTAAAGATCTGGTAGGACGCCTTTGGTCACTGTGGTAATCATTCCAGCTGCAGAATATTTCTTTTGTCTTTGCAAAATAGCAGACCGTTTGACTGACATGGAGCTTTGAAAGAAGGAAACTAATTTCGCCAAGAAAAAATAAGACAGAAAAAAAACAATAATAATTTTGAAAAAGAAAGCATTTTGCGACACCACAGCTTTCTTCTTCAGGTTTTGTACTGCTCGCCTCAGGTTTCCCTCGGACATTTCCACCCGTCTTCTAACAGCAAAAAATCTCAAACTGAAAAACATATCTGTGCGCGGTTTACTCAGCTGAATAATACCATTAGTTGAATAAATCTTCCTTATAGTGTCTTTAAACAGCTTGAATGTTAAATGTCTCCGGCAAGAAAGTTCCACAAAACCTTCAAAATCTTGCTCGTGTCCAGATTCCTCTCTCCTTCCTAAACAATTGGAAGACCGGTCTGACACCTGTTAAAGAATTCACTGAGATTCTTTTCAGGAAGCTACGTATACACGGTGGAAGAAACGGGAGATACGGATAAACATGACGAGAAATGAAACGAAATACTCATTTCTTCCTTATTGTTCCTAGAGAAAAGCCAAATTATCGAGCAATTTTTAGGGGGCCAAAAAAATTCCTGCTCAAAGCGATCGTTCACATCTGCTTCCAAGTCTTTCAAGTGTGACACAGAAAATTTCACCCAATAAATAATTAATAATTTGAAAACTTATCCTCGCGAAATTGGCGAGTGCAATCTCACAGGTCACATGTATTGCACTAACTGAAGATTTCAGTGACTCAGCGAGGAGAAAATGGACACTCGATGCTGGTTTATAATTTTTATACTATCGCAATTTCACAGTCTGTATCGTCGAAAATTCTTTGCCAACGGAGATAGCTTTGCTTCTATAGCGCAAATGAAACAAATCGTCGATTTGGAGATGAAGTTAGGTCAAAGCCTGGAGAGATTTGTCGAGTTAGAGAAGAGTCGATTGGAAAAAGTAAAGCAATTTTCTAAAAGTGTCAAGGAAGCCATGAATCAAGTTCAATTAGAAGGACCAAAATCTCTCGAGAATCCTGCGACATCTTATGCTGTGATCAAAAGATTTGCGAACGGATGGACGGAGCTTGGAAATTTTTTAGAGAAGGACTATTCCAGCGGTAAGGATAATCATTACACGATAAGATCTAATTGCTTCTCTGTTAAGTGTCAACGGGAAAACATTGTTTGGGTTGGTAGTTTTGGGTTAGATTTAGGTCGTCATGACCAAACGGGACTAACCTGAATTTCAACTGAAAAGGAATTGCAAATTTTCATTTCTCTCCGTCTCTGATTTTATCAGGAAGAGCTGCGGTCGCATTGTTTATACTAACAAACAATAAATACAAATCGTGATACAAGCACGCGGCGGACAAATCAGAAAACTTCAACGATATAATTAAAGCAATCAGAAAAAATATTCTGAATCGTTTAAGGCGTTTGTAAGAGACTTTTTTTTTTCTTGACAAGACCATCATTTACCAGATCAGATTTCCGCGTTTTTTTATTAAGAGGTTTTTAGTTGCGGTCTGATAGTTATCAGCTTTGAATATTTGTTGCTCAAAGCCGATATCCTGCCGTGAAAATTCAGTCTTATCCATCAATGTAAAGCAAATCAATGCGGAAATGAAATGAATCAATGAGAGTAGAAGGGCGGCGACTGACGACGTTTACTCAGCGCACTCTGTCATTGGGTTAAGGAGACTTACGTCACCATCTCAATAAATGTAGTGACCAGTTTGAAGATCGCTAGAATCCATGAGTGCAACTTGCGATTGAAGTAGCAAAGCTTTGACCTATCACATCTCTACCACAGATTTACAACATCTACTAAAGTCAAGCAAATGGCAGTTTCCAACTCACAAGGAAGATCTTCTGGGTGCCATGGCGGCTATGTTTCGGCTCCAAGATACCTATAATATATCTGCAGTTGACATGGCTGATAATAACATAATAGGTGAGCGACGTAGAGGCCTTTCACAAATTAATGAATTGATTTTGTGGATCAATGTCAGTATCTTAGCCACTGCGCACTTACCCCTCCCCCTAACACGACATCAACCGTTATTTGTTATCAGTTGACTGTTTTGGGTCAGGGGTACGCAGTTATTCAGATATTGACATCGATCTACTTTTGTGTTTTCTCCAAGAGACCAGGTGAACTGATATTTAGTGCTCTGACTCCGTCGAACTTCAGCAGAATTTCATTTTTTTTGTGTTCTTGAGCAAGACACTAAACTCTCTCCACGTACATGTAAATAGTATAAAGTACTGGAGAACTGACAAGGAACCTTAACGACTTGCCGGAGGGAAGGTTGGATGGGGTCTCGATGGACTAAGATCCCATCGTTGCAGGTGGGGCAGCAATTCCTGAAGTCGCCTCAAGCCACACCCTGATAAGGATGGGTCCCGGGAAGCATATGAAAGTTTTAAGGGTTTTACTCTCTCTCCTCTGCACGATTCACTATCGATTCTGCTACAGTTCAGCAGCATTTTATCACACCAGGTTTTCTTTCATGTATCATCTTCTAGGTTGCGGAGCCGCTCCAAAGCTTTTAGCCGAAGACTGTTTCGATCTTGGAACTGTGGCGTATCAAGCCGGTCGATACACACAGGCAAGAGACTGGCTTAGATTAGCAGAAACGTTCATACGTGAAGGAAGACATGATGGGGCAGTGAATCGAACTGAAGTGTTAGAATACCTGGCATGGATCGAATACGTTGTAAGTTCATTTAACTCAACATTTTCTCTGTAATATTTTGGTGATATCAAGCTTTACGTAAGAGTTAGAACAAGAGCGGTTATCCTCTCTTATATATATATACTTAAGGAATTGATCATTATTCATCACCTTGGGGGGGGGGAAGAGAGGAAATTTTGGATGATTTATCATAAAATTTATCTGATCCCAATATCCTCATGCCCCCCACCCCACCCCCCTCATTGGCAGAAAATTTTTTCATACCCCGCTTTTTTTACTCTGTTGGCGACCACTGCTTCTTCCATCGTTCCCTCTGTAATCCATCTGATCCCCAAAAATCTCCCCCCCCCGCAGGCGATAGATAGCAACGGATCCCTTACTGAAAAGGAGCGAAAAGTATAACCTACAGTCAGTTTTCACTTTAGCACTCTCAACCTTGTTTTTAGGTTTTTGACTGCTAAGAGGTCCAAAGAGATTCCTTTTGCATTTCAGAGTATTTGTTTTTAAAACATCTCTTCCAGGAATACCTTTAAATTGTTGTTTATTTGGGAGAAATGGTTGCAGAAAAACAGGAAACGTACGTGTTGTGGTTATGTACCCAGACCATCTGTATCAACCTGTTAATATCTGACCTCACCTAAGAAATTCGACTACAAAGAAACTAAATTGATGTTTGGTTTTTTTGTTTATTTATTTTTATACAGAAAGGAAATCCCGAGCGAGCCCTCAATCTTACCTTGGAAATACTGCAATCTGGTAAGTCTTGAACAATTTTGGAGCTCACGAGTGAATTTTTTTATTACTATTTTCATTTTTAAATCTTTCACGCATTTTCGCTTAGTTCCTCATAACAAACAGGCGAAAGAAAATGTCATGCACTACAGGGAGATGGTGGAACAAGGAACACGTGATACACATGACCAAATAAAGGCAAAAGAGGAAGAAATCAACACGAAGACTTTCAAAACTGGGAAGTACGCGACTTTGTGCAGGGGTGATACAAGTCAGGTACCTGTCATTTTGGGTTTATGTCGCAGAATTGGAAAGTTTTTTTAGACACACTCTGAATTCACTCTATATCTCTCTTCATCACATCTAAGCTGCCGGGTCAACATCACTGAGGCTATACGTGATGGGAAGTAGGCCAGTAGGAATATTTTTCGCCATAATTTTTTTATCTTTGGGAAAACAAATCTCCTCTTAGATGTTAAACACCTTTGCTTGAACGTCTCTAGGCACTCCTCCTTAGATTGTGTCGTTTCTTAACTTAGAATACTCCTCAAGGAGATCTTCAATGCTGGTATCACGGAAAGAAGAGTCCATTACTCGTACTTAGACCAATCAAAGTGGAAATGGTTTGGCGCAAGCCTGAGTTGTTAATCTTCAGAAATCTTTTAAGTACGAAAGAAGCTGAAAGAATCAAAGAGATAGCCACACCCAAGGTACATTACATAAGAGTAGTTCTATTGCTGCATCATTCTTTTTATACAATATTATACCGGTTTATCAATAAAGGGCAAAATTACTGAGCGCTGATTGGTTGAGAGAGAGGGCATTTTTTTCTTAATCGAGGGCATTTTTAGTAATCAAGAGAGGGCATGATTACCTGTTAATGATTGGCTAATCCGTTGCATAGCAACCGTTCGTTATCTTGAAATTTGTT